CTAATTTTATCACACTTTCTACTAACTCAAGAAAGGTAACTCTTGCAGGGATGCTTCAAAGTGTTTCTAGAAAAACAACTTTTTATACCTATATATTCCCAGACAGGGTAAGTCATTTCAAGAAGCTATTACAATGTTACAATGGAGCTAGCTTACCCACAAGGTGCCAGATGGTTTGAAGGCATCAAGTGCTTGGTACAAAAGAAAAGGCCATCCACGAAATTAGGTATTAATGATGCAAATTAATGCAAAGAGTGAGCTATTGTTGCTATAGGTCAGAATGTTTCACAAGAATCTTTACATCTGTCTCTTTAAACCTCTTGCAGATATAAGTTGTTATCCTAAGAGTAAATTTATACCATTAATCAGATCAGCATTATGCAACATTGGACTCTCTAGTACTTCTGTTTAAATATCTGTTTAGAAATATGGAAGAGAATTATCTAATTCAGACACTATGGGCCAACCACCACTGTCATATCTGGATTTATATATTCTTTGTAAGAGTCTGTTAGTCACACACATGTTGAACATGTTGAAGGGTGTAGTAACCCCTCACTCATTTATATTTGATTGGAAATCAGATGGTCTTAAGAATGCCTGATTATGTATAAGCAGCTAAACAAGCTATCTGCCCTTTATGTTGGCTTTTTTTTTACTCATTGCATTAATATTCTAGGTTAGGTTTATGTTATCTTGACATGTAGTATATCTAAAAATCAAGTAGATAAATGAAAATTAAGAGTCATCACTCAATTGTTCAATTAATTCACTTAGTGGTTCAGAAAATATTTACTGGGCGTTCAATAAGTTGCTAGAGATATAATAAAAAGGGGGGATGATAACACTTCTGATGTTATTGAGCTCACCTTCAAGAGATTTGCCTCATATCAAGCTCAAATGACAGATGAGCAGGCACGTGGCACCAGGCAGATCCACTTAATGGTCTGTATATGTTATGGCTGGGATCTGTATTGTTAGGGGCTTGGTTTCCAATGTGGTAACATTCAAAGGTGGAAAGAAATATTGATTCTTTATCCTCAGATTTCATTTTATTAGATTAGTGTTCAGCTTTAGAGATAGCTGAATACCCTTTTGTAAAAATGTCTTCACTTAGCCTCTGATCTTGATTTGTTTTGGTTCTATTCCTGCATCAATAGACTTCACCAAAGTCTTATTTTGTGTTGTCTCCTCATCTTTCTGCACTCTAAAAACCAGTGACATAGTTCTCAGTTCTTCAATACTTTTGCTCTTCTCATTAAACTCACTTTCTAGTGTTAACATTTAGTGTCCTCAAAATCACATGAGTGGTGATGTCCAAAAACCTGTCTCTCCTGGACTCCTTTACATCTCTACTCGGATGTCTACTAGGCATCCTAAACTTCAAAGATAACCAAAATTGAATTGAATTAAATTGTTTTCTGTTTCCTCTTTTAATATTGCTCCCAAGTAAATACATGGCTTGCTCTCTCATTTCCTTCAGAAATCTACACCAATGTCACCTTCTATCAGCCTTACTAGGTCACCTTATACAAACAGCACTATCCCCACCAGCCTACCCACTAATATTTCCTATTATCCTTCTTGAACTTATATTTCTCCAAAATAGTTCTCACCAACTGACAACGGACATATTACTTATATATATATGTATATATACATGTGCATGTATGTATGTCTCTCTATCTATTATATGTATGTTTATATACTTAGTTTCTTTTTCTCTTGAAAAAAATGTAACCATGAGGGTAGGGACTTTGTTTTTTTGTTTCCTGCTAATTATTAATACATAGTACAATGCCTTGAAAGTAGTAGGAACTCAATAAATATTTGTCAAAATAATTGCTGAATTAATAAATAATCTCTTCTAATACTTTATCTGCTACATGAATCAATTTTGATTAGAATATTAAAAGTTGAGAGGATCATGTCTGAGTAACTAAAATTTAAAACAATTTATTTGTAAATGTCTAGTTTAACAAGGGAATATCCTAAAATATTAAGAAACATCGATTTTAAAAATGTTAAATCAGTTCAGTTGAGTTAGTCTGATAAAATATGAGTAGAGAAATCAACCTAGAAAAAAATTAATAGAGACATTTTTAACTCTGAAGGAGAAATTGCAATAGGAGATAATAAGAATTCAGTTTAAGTACAGGATCTGATCTAAGGTTTTCCTATACAGCAGACAACGTATATAAAAAGTAGTTTGAGTTCCATGAAGAGGCAGTAGAGCATAGAGAGTTTGCATCTAAATGTTAGTAATCTCATATTGTTATTTCACTTCTCAAGGCCTCAAATTGATCTATAAAATAGGATTAGATGTTATCTGTAGCATAGAATCATTATAAGAATCATATTGGGCCTCAAACATTCACTCTAAGTCATATTATATCATGAACATAAATAATTGAACACACTTTGTGGCAGGTATTTAGAGTTCAAATACTGTAGAATGGCCCTAGTAAAATGCAAGTAACTGCAATATGATACATCATTAAGAGTAATTTCTAAAGCTTCTAAAAATAATTATCTTTGTCTGTTTTGTGTTGCTATAAGAGAATGCCTGAGACTGAGTAATTTATAATAAACAGAATTGTGTTTGCTCACAGTTCCAGAGGCTGAGAAGTCTAACAGCAAGGTGCTGGCAACTGGCGAGGGTATTCTTGCTGTGCTTTCTCATGGCAGAAAGAGACCACAAGAGGCACCAATCCCACCCATGAGAATGAAGCTCTGATGACCTAATCACCTCTTGAACAGGTTCAACCTCTTCATACTGTTAGAATGGCCATTACATTTCAAGGCGAACAATAGCAAATTTTGTTAATTTGAACAATAGAAATTTTGTTAATTGAAAATAATTTAAAATTTATCAAAATCATGTTTGTAGCCATCCATTTGATTGAATTTTTTAAACACTTGAAGTACTTCTGAAAAGATGAATATCTTCCATTATTAGCTCTACCAAATTTCTATTTATAGAATAGAAATACTAATAAATATTCCTAAATAATATTCTTAATTACTGTAGACAGCTTTGTTGTCTAAAACAATGTTAATTCCAGCATATAAAAATGTCTGTCCAGCTGGGCATGGCACCTGCCTGAAATCCCAGCTGATCAGGATACGGTATCAAGGCAGGAGAATCACAGGTTCAAAGGCAGCCTCAGCAATTTAGTGAGGCCCAAGCAACTTAGTGAGACTCTGTGTTATGGTTTAGATATGAGGTGTCCCTCCAAAAGCTGATGTGTGTGACAATACAACAACATTCAGAGGTGAAATGATTGTGATGAGAGCCTTAACCCAATCAGTGAACTAATCCTTCAGTGGGGATTAACTGAGTAGTAACTGCAGGCAGGTAGAGTGTGCTGGAGGAGGTGGGCATTGGGACATGCCTTTGGGGCATATTTTTTAAAATATGAGAGTGGAGTCTCTTTCTGCTTTCTAATGTGATTCCTGAGCCATTTTCCTCCACCACATCCCACCACCATGACATTCAGGCTTATCTTGAGCCCTGAGGAATAGAGCTGGCTATCTTTGGACTAAGACCTCTGAAACCATGAGCTCTAAAATACACTTTTCCTCCTTTAATTGTTCTTGTCCAGGTCTTTTAGTCACAGAAGCAAAAAGGGGACTAAAACACCCTGTATCAAAATAAAAAATAAATCAATAAATAAAAAGGCCTGGGATGTGGCTCAGTGATAAAGCATCCCTGGGTTTAATTCCTTGTACCGTTCCTTCACTCCCCAAAAAAGTGTCTGCCCACAAACTCAGCTCTGTATACCACAAAACATCATTTTACTATAAACATTTAAGAAAGAAGATGGTAGCCAATTTTTTCATAATCTTAAAAGAGTCCAAACCTTTAAATGAGATGGTTAAGAGATAAAATCAGTGACAGAGTTTACAGGTCCAAAGCTAGCTAGTGTCATAATGCTCACATGGTCCTGACCTTCAAGGATCCAGGCTCCTCCACATGTAAACCACCAGGAATCAGGTGACAATCATGGGCCTACACTGGCTCCTGCAGAGTTCCACTATTACCACTGGGGTACTGCAGTCTGTAGACCTTTCTGAACCTCATATGTGATGCAGCTCCAACTCCTTCACACATTCACTCACTTAATTCTATATCAAATATTCACTAGATATGCCTACCTGTTCCAGCCCAGGGCTGGATGCTGGAAAGACAGTGTGCCCTCATGGAACCTATAAACTCATGTGTGAGATAATAACAGGCAAATAAAATAAATAGCATTATTTTCAACAATGTCAGGAGGCAGTCACAGAAATGCTGGCAGTGTGAAATAGCTATGTTTCAGGGAACCTCTCCCATTTTCCACTGAGTGTGACTACCAGTTTACTCCTGAAGTATAAAACATGTGTATACATTGGGAAGAGGTGGGGAAAGATAGAGATGGGAAATAGGAAGAGAAAATAAAGAGGGAAGGGTAAGTAGAACTGAAATTCTCACATCAATTAAGAAGGTAATTTTGCTTCATCCTTTAAATTTTTTAGATCTGACACAACTGCCCTCTGAGTAGTTAATTACTGACCATTTCAATAGTAATATACAGACACTGATTACTTTATATATTTTCCTTTTACCTCTAGTTAAATTACAAATGTACTTCAACTCTTGTTCCTATAAAATATGTTCTTAAATTTTTATTTTAAGGGTTTCGTCTACAATGACATGGTCATATATAGTTTTTATTGCATTTCACCCAGTTACCATATAAGAAATTAGGAGTCTTAAAATAAGAGCATTTATCTAACACAATGCAAATACTTGCCTGACTTCAGTGAATATTTGGAAGTAGAAATTGTTGAGTCCTTCTTTGCTGACTTTAGTTAAGGAAAGAAGGCCTATGTCTTTTTTTCTATTACTTCCAAAGCATACGGGAAAATAATGGACAAACCTTTTCTTAGAAAATGATTTCAAGGAACAGGGTGTTTTTGATATACAAATTCTAAATCAGTACTTCCATCCAATGAACGTGAACCCTTAAAAACCTCTAGACATGACACTTACCTGCATCTCTTGACAAAAGGAAGCCAAGGGCCCAAAGAGAATCTGACATTGTTCATCTGCAGTATATGTCATCCCCGGCAGCTTAGAGGGGACCATCACGGAATTGACACTCTGGGGATTTGTCTGTAGCAAACAGTTACTGGCTTTTGACCTGACAACATGCAGATATGTATAAAAATTTGAAATATTGTAAAAGTTGTTATGATCAATTAGCATAAAAAGAAGAAACATTATTAACAGTATAATACTTTCAGTTAAAAGCTCTCTTATTGAATGATTATAGAAATCATTTCATATATGGATTAATTTATTAAAAATTATTTAAGATAATCTTGACAAGTAATAATAACTATCATGTTTTAGGTAATATAACAAAGGGTTTATAAAACCTATTCATTATGAATTAACTTAGCTAATACACATAACACTGTGAAGTGGGTATCATTTCATGCATTTATAAGATCTAGAAGCTCAGACACAGAGAGTAACTTGCCCAAAACCAAGTGTGACTATAAGATATCAGCTACTCTTTGGAATTTAAAGCAATTATTCTGAATTGAGTATTAATAGTGTGGATATTTTTGTACTGTACATTGTAATACAACTTCCATATGTGAACTGACATTTAATGTGGTAATAGTCTCGATTCATCAGAAGACAGATTTATATGTCTTGCATCTTTTTTAGAAATAAGTTTATTAGGGGCTACTGATCGGCTGATGCAACTACTGATGGTGTTTCAAACCGTTACTTGATTGCTGTGCTCTAGGCTATCATGACTAAGAGTATGCATAGAGTATATTGCAAGTATTGCAGAACATAGTTATGGTAATGTAATAACCTAATATTTTATTCAATTATAATATTAATTTAATAAAATAAATAGGCTTGTAAATTTAAAAATGAACAAAGTTCATCTCTGTAGTGAATTTAGTCAGGTAGGTGTTCCTATAATTTTTATTTAGATTTTTAAATACCTTGAACATCTGACTACTTTACATATCACTGTTTCAGCTGTTCCTTCTATTATCAAAAGAATAAAGGTAAAAAACAAGGGCTCTAAAGTGATAATTAGAATAATAGCAATATTTTTCATTTATTTTTCCAACTGGGAAGAAGTTATGTGCTACTATTGTTGCAATATAATTAGGGTCTATTACAATGGTAAGAAGTATTTATTAGCAAAGCAGATGTAAAGTTCAGTAGTACCATAATGAAAAGGTGTAGATTTTGTTCAGGAAGCATTTTGTGATAGAAACAGATATTTTGGGTGATGGTTAATTTTCCCCTGGGAAATATTGAAGATCCATTTAAATACTGTGATGGATTTCTTTAAAAATCATTATAATAATTTTCAACCTTACAAATTATCTAATTCATCCCTTTATTTTAAAAATGTAGAAATGAAGAAGCAGTTAAATAACATGTCCCAAAATGCACCATGAGTCAAAAGAAAAGCCAAGATGAGAATCATATGCCTTGACTTCTACTTTGGTGGCCTTTCCTTCTTGTCACCTGCTGGCTGGCAGTGGAAGCAGGCACACACTTACAATGCAGCAATAATAAGTGATCTCAGTACCTGAGAAATCTTTCCAAATCCTCTTTGCTACATGCAGACCATGAAACATCACCAAGATTTTGTCCTTTAATCCATTCACCAGACATGATATGAAGGCCATCAGCACATGAAGGGTGGTCATTGTCATGATTAATGCCCATGCTGATTTAGAACATATAAAAGAAAATTATTTACATTAAAGTACTACTGTATTTAAATGTTTTATTAATGTAGTTAAATAACAGTCACAGTATTAAAAATGGGAAAGAAATTTGTTTTAAAGAAAATAGTTTCAAAATAAAGTTAGATTTAAGATTATTTTTTAACTTTTGTTACCCAGATTTTAGGTATTTTTATTTAATAAAGAATATTTCCCCAATCAACCTAAAATATGTTTTGGTTTGGTTATCTATATCAAAATAATCTATAAATAAATTTTTTACATAGCAATATACATGAAGCAGAAATAGTACACTTCTATTCAATCACCTAGATTATTATTCTGGCCTGAATCAAGATTTTTTTTTTTTTACAAAATTGAAAACATCTTTGACAAATAGTTATATTAAAATATTAGCCTCTTAGTGCATCTTCCCCAATGGCTTCATTAGATTATCTTCTTCTACCCACAACTCAAATAAGCAAGTGTCTCTGAAAAACCTTCTTGGCCACCTTTATTAGTGAATCCTGAATCTGTTGATTTATGTTGAATTCTATTCTGAAAAACACAGACTTATCTATGAATGGATGCTCTAGAATCATCTTAAATTCAAAATGTCTTAAAATTGCTCTCTTTACCTCCTTACTTTCTCTTTCTTTCAAATCTCTATTTACTGGTGTATTTTCTCTGTTTTTTTGTTTGTTCGTTTTTGCTAGCCACTGTCTCTCAAACACAGAATCTTCATGTCATTATTTCTTCCTTCTTCTGCCAAATGATCACCCAGGCCATTTTATTAACTGTTAAGGACAAGCCCTACTCATTTTAAACATTTCTCTCAACTGTTATCTCCTATTTTTATTGACACTGTTAGAGAGGATTATCAAACATTCTTATTAGATCATCTTGAAACCAGGGTATTTTAATGTGGTTCTGTGCCCCTAAACTTTACCAATATTCTGCTTCCCCTCCTCCTACCACACTCCAATGAGATCTACTTACAGTAAAATCTGATTCTGCTTTGCCTCTGCTTTCCTATTCACTCTATGGCAATTTCCAGCTACCTGACGTGTTACATGAGCTTTTCATCTTCTTCCATGCCATTTATTGCAATTTTTCTTCAGCAATACCAAATGAATTGCAATTTCCCAATTATTTTATTTCTTCTTCTCTTGCATTTAATTGCTATTTAACATTTCTTATGTACCATGTACCATATCAGGGCTTAATACCCTGTAAATAACCCCATGGAATAAGAAAGACTATGATACATTTTGCTAGTATGAAGTAATTTGCTTAAAGTTATGTAAACGAAAAACTGGGAGGTGAAAATAGCTGAATGGAGGTGGCATATCTAGAGCTTTTGTGGTCAACCACTGCACACGGGGCTTCCATGTATCCCAGCCCTATCTGCACCATGTCCTGAGTGCAGTTTCTTTGCCTAGACAACTTCTGCTTGATCTTCAAAATAATCAGATTACTTCTAGAGGGCTTTCATTCGTTAGTGCCCACATAATCTGTTTGTATTATCTTTTCTTCCTATCATAGGTTTATGTAAACATCAATGTCAGTGTTTTCTATATTATCTTTAGCATTTTTGATGTTCTTACATTTTTACTTTTGATTAACTCTCCAAATTCCTGAGGATAAGGACTTTTGCAAACCTCTAAGAGTCTGCAATGGAATAATAATATTCTTTGTAACCCATGCTGAAATGGAGAACTATGACTTCAGGTAGAATCACTTCTGTTTTAGGAAAAAGAATTAATTCTTAATTCTTAGTGACAGCATTACAACAAGTATTCTTGAATGATGCTTTTACTGAACAAACAGAGAAAGGAAAGTTTGTATTTATGTATCCTAAATCTGAGAGGATGGCAGGATAGTTTGATATTCCTCTTTCTTTTTTTTATGGTCTACATTAAAAAATAAATAAATAAAATTGATCCTCATAATGAAAAACATAAAATATCTGAATCATGTTTTATAACTGTAAATTAAAAGACATTATTAAGGTTGCTAAGGGAAATAACAACTAGATAATTTAAGTTTTCTCAAATAAAAATTCACAAGAATATCCAAATTCACTTTTATATTGATAAATTAAAAATTTGAATCAAATTTGTTATGAAATATGTTTCTGAAAGAAGTAAATGACATGGAAGTAATAAATAAATTCTATCCATATCATTAATGAATTAAGAGGAAAGTATGGCTTAGTATGTCTGTTAACTTTGACTATGTTAATTCAGGTAAATAAAACTGAAACTACATTATTGAACACCATATACTTGTAGTGCTATAAAAGTTCATAAGTGAATAATATTTCCTTCTTCTTTTAATTAATGCCTTAAAATAGTCTGTATCAATATATATTAATAGAATGGTTGACTAATAGAATGTAGAAAGATAAATGTTTTCAGACTTTGAAGATAATGAGAAAAAGTAAGAGAGCTTATGGGATAACTAGGAGCCAGTTCAATCAATGGCATATTGAAGGGAAGAGAAAAAAGACGCTGAAGTTAGAGTTTTAATCTCTGTATCTTCCATCTATTTCTATGATCAGAGGTAAGTTAAATAACAATAAATAGATGAACGTGTTTCAAGTGTCTCATTTGTTAAATATACTTTCCTGATTGATTTATTGTGAGGGTGATGCCAAGTGCCTACACAGAACCTATAACATAGGACAGATCCATGGTAATTCTTTATATTGGGGCAGGAGATCACAGAAATTTTATTGTATTATTCTAATTTGTCACATAGAAATAAATCCATCATTAAAAGTAATATGCTGTGTGCTTTATTTGGTGAAAGTGTAAACTTCAGTAAATAATAATGGCAAAATTATTTTGATTAGATATCAAATTAAAACAAGTAATTTGAAGTATGGTACAATCTCACAAATTGATAAGAATGCTTTTCTGTAGTGCTAACTGTTCAGTTCTGACACAGCCTCATCAGTATCACCGTTTCATCTCCCCTACAGATTCGGGCTGCAGTGCACATCAGTGGATGAACCACTAATTAATGGCTCCCTGCTATGTAGAACATGCTCAACTCTTCCAAGATGGTGCAGCAATTTCAAACCATGCACAAATGCTGATCTTTTTCAGAAATAATAAAACTTCCTAACTAATGGGTCCATTTGAGAGAAGGAGAGTGATTGCCTCCAGGATTCAGCTATTTGGACATTACCCAAAGGAGTGCAATATGATTTTCCAAATTGGGAAGATTATAACCTCTCATCCAGATGATCATTTTCACTGTGGGATCCTGATTTTCATGTAAGAAATTAGCTTCAGCCATGGAGAGATCTGGTGATTCAAGCATTGTTTACCATTAGTGAAAATTTCCTAGAGCTATTTAGACTTGTAATAGAAAAGATTGTCATTAAATTGGGACAGGGGCTTTTTCTAACTACACATCTGGAATTATCAGGAGACACTGCTAAGTTCTGATTCTACAGCTTTGAAATAAAACAATTAACTGTGAACCTTTCTCTGTGCCAGTCACCATATTAGTCATTGACAATGATATCATTTAATCCTCACAATATCCCCATGATGTTTCTATTATAATCACTTCTATTTTACAGAAGAAGGAGGCACTGAGGTAAATGGAGGAGCTGTGACTCACACCCAGGCAGTCTGATGCTTAGTCAGACAGACCTCAAAATCACCCCCACGGTAGTGCTTCTCTTTCTGGATCAAACGCCATCCCTGCAGACGATTTATTGTGCTCCAAATATTCTAATCCCTCTGCTGTTTTAGCAGAAGCACACCTCTATATATACAACTTTGTAACCAAGTGGCAATATATTGCATGGAAAACATTCTTAAAGTAAGACATTAGCAACACCTCTTCTCATACTGTGCAATTGAACTGCATTTTAATAATCTCAGTTTAAATTCATTTTGACAAAAAGCCTTGGGCAAATAAACTCTCCACTAACATTGTACATGGTTGTCAAGTCAACTGAAAAAATATTTTTATCTTATAAAACTTCTCAACTTGTTTAAAAGTGCCTGCCAGGAAGTTTTGTGATATCCTGCGGAAAGCTGGAGAAGCATTTGGATTTTGAAGATGGTCCCTTTTGATGTTTAAAGAGTCAGAGAAGAGAGCACTTATGAATTCACTCACATATTTTGGATAATTTGGAAAAGATCTGATTTGTAAACAGTAATATTTTAAAGGAGAAATATTTTTTTTTTAGCTGACTACATTAACATCTTTCATGACATAATATTCCCCACTAGAAGCCATATATTTTGTGGAAAAAATAGTAGAAACGAACTACCACAATGTCTAACTGAAGTGGATTATGTGTTCAAAAATGACATTTAATTTTATATAATCCAATGAATATATCTGACTTAAAGTAATTTCACTTACATGTGGTCATAAAGAAAAATTCAAATATTAAGAATTGTAAGATATTTTAGTATCCTGTTTTCCTTTTGATATTTTAAATATCTAAGTCATTTAACTCATTTCAGTATGCATAAAAGTGAAATATTTTTATTAACAAGTCAAAAGTCTTTGTAAAGCAAGTCAGTAACAGTAAGGTAAAAAATTTGAGGAAAAACATAAAGTGTTGGATATACAGAAAAAAAAGATTCGTTTTGACTTTTTTGTTTTTTAGTGTGATGGACATCCTTTTGACTTTTCTATGCATTATGTAGCAGACTTGTGTAGTACTAACATACATCTGTTGAGAACCTACTATGTGCTGGCACTGTACTGAACCAGGGTCATAAAGATACATAAGATTCAGTTCAACCTTTCTGGAGCTTATCATCTACTGGGTTGGAACACTATCCCTTGCCCCAATGCAGCTGAGTTCCATAGAACTGGATCTCCTTAGTTCTATGCCTTAGCTCTGCTGCTTGTCCCTGTCTTTCCACCTCTA